ATACATATATCAGAGCCAGACACTGTTATTCCTTCCCACACTATCATACTGAAATGAGGGAGTGAGTTAACAAAAGAGCTGTAAAATGATACAGCCAGATGTCAGGAATATAACCTAAATCAGAGCCTTTTTGTTTTGTTTTTAAAATAACTGAAGTGACTGCCTTTAGAATACAGACACATGTAGAAATAGAGTGGCAATATGGATAAACTTATCTTCTAATTTTATACTACAGATTAAGTAGTCACTACTCTTTGCTTTAACAGAGGACCTCCAGAAATAAGTTCCTGGACATTTAGTGTCCTGGGAATCTAATCCTCACACACCAGACACTAAACAAAATTTAAAAAATCAAGAAGAGCATTGCATTTTAACAGCTAGACATTTATAACAGATAATCTGCAGCTAACACCTGCACTTTCTCTCTGATATGTTTGGCTTATTTAAGATCTAAGCTTAATATTCCCAATCATCCACAGTAATTTCCTTTGCCTCCTTTTTGATCACTATCAGCTCCAACACTGAATAAAAAAGCACCTGCACCTACTAAATACTAACAACCAAATAAAGCCAATACATTCTGCTTCACNCTAAAAATCCTAATAGCCCTAAAGCTTTCAAAGATTAATCCATTCAGACTGGGATATCCTGCCCCAAGGCTCATTCATTCATGACTTAATATATTCACTAGGAAAAAGTAGGAAAGATCATTCTGACAACACATGTTGAGTACAACGCTACTTACTTTGCCTTGAAGTAAAATGGCATTTTAAATTAAATAGTGATTCTTAAAAGTTACTTTTTAAATATATTTTCATTTTTATAAACTTACACAGCCAAGAAAGGGCAGGAAAAGCACAAATTGTGCCTTTCAGATCTGGGTGATTCACTATTTAAAGGAAAAAAAGTCTAGCAACACAGGATTACAGAATCGCTGGGAGGTGAAAGGAACCTTTTGAGACCACCTAGTCCAACACCCTGCTCAAGGAAGGTCAGATGAAACAGGCTACCCAGGACCATATCCAATTGAGTTGGAGACTCCACAACTTCTCTAGACGATCTGTGCCGGTGTGTGATCACTGTCACAGTACAAAAACTGTTTTCTTGTGTTCAGATTTGATTTCATGTTTTTCAATCTCTGCTCATTGCTTATTGTCCAACAAATGTAGATGCTCTATGTGGTGAAAGCCTCTGAGATCTTCCCACTGGTTGGAACAGAACAAAGTTTTAATGCCTAAACTCTCAATGGTGATCACCCTTCATGAAAAGTAATACATAGCTGTTCGACGGCACTGTAATCCAAAATGTTGCTATTTTAGCCAGATGCAGTAATAGACGGACAGATGCTTTATTAGCAGTGAAAAAAAATAACTTTTTTTGCATAATCTGCTGCTACCTGGAATGGTTATTACTGAACCAAGCTGTGAATGACTGACATCCAGTCCTTACAAGGTTTGGGAGCTGACCTTAACTGTGGCTCAGTTAGGTCTCCTTTCGTGCAGTGGTGCTTACACCTCTACCCTGTAGGGCCCTGAAGGGGTGATAGGGTCTGGAACAGCATTAATGCTTTTTCTTAAGTCTTAATAATTTCATGTGAAATTTCAGAAATTCCATGGGCTCTAAGAAACAGCTCCAGCAGTAATCTCAGCACATTCAATAAACTGCCCCAAGTGTGCCTATAACATCAAAAGCAAGAAAGACCAGACCTTTGTCAGAAATGCTGAACACAGGCAGCTGATCAGGTGCCCCTCTCAAATTCTCATGCTCACAGAGATTTAAACACAACTCTGTGTTAGTTTAAACATGCAAGGCTTTTAAAAGTTACTGACACAACTACCACTACAGATTCTCTTCTTTATCCATGTCTTTGAAATCAGTACTTTGCAGCTTGCAGATCCAGACTTTGACTCCTTTCATTAAGTATTGTAATGGAAGTCAAAAAAGAAGATGAGAAAGACTGGTAAAGGAAGCAAAACAGTTCTTGCTGTTCTCAACAGGATGTGGACATGAGCTGCAGGAATTCAAGATGGATCCTTGCAGGAGGACTACACCAAGAATGCAAATATGTAGAAGTGTTCATGATCCTGTTTATACAATTACAAAAACTGTAGGATTCGGCACAGCACTTTGATACAAAACTAAGACTAATGTTAAATAAGTATTTTTGTGCCTTCTTGCAAGGGTATTTTCTGCAACACATTTTGCATTTCTTTTAATATTATATAGGTGAATCACATGCAAAAGAAACAACAGCTTTTAAAATCCAGAAATTTAAAGGCTTGTAACTTTCTCCTGGAGTGGATGTTATATATCATCCTAAATGTTCCTGCCCTGTCCCTCCTTCCCTGGGAAAGTAGGCACCGTTTTAAGCCAAATTCACTTCTGCAGTGCTGTGATTTGGCTTTAATGCACAACAAAAACAATTATCAACCCTCTCAAATCTATAATTTCTCCATGATTATAAATATTTTAGAGGTTTAGCAAGATGCATTCCAGGATTATGTATGGTTCTCTATGCAAACAACATAAATTATGAATGATATCCCAATCTAGCTTGTTAATGCTTCAAGAGGTAAGATGACTTAGATCCATATAACAAGACCTTAGGCTGATAGAGAAAAAGAAAAGACCTTGTATATTTTGAAGTCAGAAAAGAAAGATGAAGTGATGAAACTAGAACAGCAGAAAAATATCAGAGCTTGGGAACAGCTTAAAAACATCTCAGGGTTCATTCTCAGTGCTATCCCATTCTGACATTTCCTGAGTTATCTAAATATTTATGTATGTATTTCTTCTGACATTCAGCATGTTCCAAGAAAACACTCCTGGAAATGGATAGATTTTCAGCAAAATGATAGACATTTTGAAAGTGCACACTGATTGATGTACTTGTCTACAAAAATGTAGCCTAGGACATGGCAAAAGATAGTGGAAGTCTGGATTTTTGTCTCTCATGTGTGACTTATGCTATGTGGTCATTATCACAAGACATTTCAGATAAGTATGAAATAATCTCCATAAATCAAGAGAGGATTTTGGTAAAGAGAAAATTATGCAGAATTCCCTTTATGTATGACAACGTGTATAACGCATTGTTGTTATTCTCCTCCCGTATCCCATCTCCCTTCTACTAGTTCACTGTTAATCTTTGTGCATTTTGCTACAGGGTGATGCCTCCTCTTTCACAAGGGCTAGATCTTTCCAACTGAGTCACTAGAAATTCATGCCAGAGAAGGTCATGGGGAAAAGACTGGATTCACTTGAAGCCAAAAGATAGCAATGGAAGAGAATCACATTAACCTCTGTGGCCGTCACTGAGGAAAATGAACCCTGGCTGTCCCCTGTCATGCTTTCCATTTCTGAAATGTTCCTCACTTGTGTCAGCTCTCACACTGACTATGACATGATTTTGAAAAACTTTCCACAAAAAAAAGTGTGAGATATTTGGCAGGAGGAACGTAGAAGTACCCTGTAAATTGAACCCAGTTGCTGCTCTGAGAGTTTTAATAGATCTCAGGTTCGACACACATGAAATCTAGAGACAAGTTTTGAAATCTTAGAGATCAATGCAGACGTACTGATGGGTATATAGTGGCCCACTTACAAGAATATGTAAACACCTAAATTAAGTCTGTTCAAAGATTTGAAATAATGCATTCAATAATATGACTTCTGACTATTACAGCAAAAGGCTAATAATTTGATGTTTTAAGGCAATTTAAGTGCAAAATTGAAAACAAATAATTTATCGAAAAAGTTGCATAACTCTTTTCCTTGTGTATAGGATTCTCCAGTAGAAACAAACTTTCGCAATTCATTATCCACATTTTGCTAAGCCACGTTCATATTCACAAACAAAACTGTTGTGGTAGCCACAGCTGCAGATTTGACTGTCTTACAACACATTCACTGCATTCTGCCTGCATTAGATTCCTTGATTTTAATGGAACAGAAAACAACCTTGAAAAAAATATTATTTATCATTCATTATGCACATCAATAGGAGACTGGGAACACTCATGTAACATGGTGCTATGAAATGAGCTGAAGAACTTGCAGGGATAGTGGTAAATCAGAATGACCAATCCCGTGAAGAGATTTTGCAATAGATTCTCTACTGTTTCTGGATTAAACATGGTACTGGCAAATCTGAGCTGGCTTTTCATGAAAGTATATAAATGGCTTCCAGAGGTAAAATGACTCTGAAAACAATATAACCAGGAGGTACCTGAGCCGATAAACCATGTCAGTTCTGCAGTTGGCTCTGTACAGGGCCAGATCTGTCTCCATGATTAATTAAATAACAGCACAAATATCCTGACCATTTGTAATCAAGAGCTGCCTGCACATGAATCACAAAAATATTTTATATCTACTCATTAAAATTACAGCAACCAATGGCACAGCAGGGTATTTAGTCTTGGATGTGTGACAAGCAGTTGCTGATGTAGCTGGTGGTCTGAGGTGGCCCATTAGCCCAAGGCACAGGGAAACACACTCATGATTCAGCCAGTGCAGTACTCGGGCCAAAAACGCCTGACTCCCACATATGGACTGCCCATCCTCTTGCCTTGGTCTGACATGTTGTATCTCCAGAGCTATCACAGCCTGGCAACCTAAACTTTAGGCAGGATTCAACAATAAATCTAAGAATGTCACAAGACTTTTATTTCAGATTAAGAGTCATTTATCTTTGGGAAGTGAAATATGTGTGCAATTACTATGAAACATGGTAAAATCCATTTCAGTTATTTGACATCACCATTGAGCCTCACAAAAGAAAGTGAAGATGTCAATTAATTATACTTCCATGAAAAAGACAATACCAATAGTGTTTTCACATCTTGCAGGTGGCTCCATAGCAAGAACCCAACTATTTTTTTTATTTGCTATCAGCATCAGTGGTATCACAGGCAGCACAACGCCATGTATGTAGACATCTGTAAATGTACCAGTCAATTAGAAAGCGTAATTAAGGAAATGAAAGGAATGATACTCACCGGGCTTTACAAGGCTTGTCTTTGTGTCCTTCTTATATCGAGCCAGCTGTATGTTCCCTTCACTCATTGACCCTGGACTGAATTTCTTCCTGGAGAAATCTCCATCGCTACCAGTGCAAAAACTGATTGGACTTTTTCCAGCATCAGGAGGAGTCTTAACTGGAGATACTGACTGGCTACTAGGACAGCCAGTGTCATCTGAAGAGAAAAGGGAAAACATCAACATTTTTAACTAATAAGTACATTAAAGTTAGCAGAATAAAAGGGAGTGTTTGAACTACAACTCTTTACAGTAAGTGATGCACACAACCTTGCCTCTGAAACCTGGTGAGAAGCTAGTTGTTTCACCTATTTTGTGAAGAAGACTTGAATAACTTATGGCAGACTAACAGGGCAACTATTTGTTTTGCTAAGTCTGACAAAATACAAAATCAGGGGCTACCTAATGAAAATTCATATTTAAGATTAATTCCTTTAGCTAGGTTAGGGAACATTATAGCATGAAAATACATGAGACACAAAAATGCACTGGGTAGTGCATGCTGGATGCAGGGCAAGCGTAGGCCACATGCTCTCCTTCAAGAAGTGTTCCCCTATCTGAACAACAGACACAAAAGAACAACCTACAGCCCTTATGCAAAAGTCAGGAATTTCATTTAACTGGAATTAATAAGGGTTCCTCAAAATTGTCTTTCCTTTAAAAGCAACTGTGAACACAGAACTCTTCCATTCTTGACCAAGTGTCTGTGTGGTACCTAGTTCTGAAGAGAGTGGGTTATACACAGGCTGCTTTTGTTTAATGCTGAATTCCTCTGAGGGCACACCAACGCTCCAGGGCATCAGCAGCTACCTAGGGAACAGACCCGAGTTCCTGACCTCTGGGGAAACAAACACTCCAGCTCTTAACAATTGAATGCAAAGTAAAGAGCCTGATTCTAAATGAAATCCACACATCAACCCCTGCTTCATCTAATCACATCCCCTGTAATCTGGAGTAATCGTGGTTCCTCTAAAAATCATGGTGGCTAAGTGATACACATCAAAACCAAACATACTACTCTGACTCTCCTGGAAAAATGTAAATGCTTGCTCTTTCCCAGGACAAAATGAAAGCTGTCATCTAAATTATGCAATTGCAATCTTCTCCTTGTGCATTATCTTTACCTAACATGAAACCCAAAGAAGTACCTGCAACTGAGCCAAGTAATTTGCATGACCATATTGCACTTACCACTTCTACCCTTTTCATAATTTAGGTCAAGCTTCATCTTGCACTGAGTTTTGCATGGGCAGATTGATTTAAAATTCAATCTATGACTGCGCATTTATGAGGCAGTCCCATATCTATCTAATACCTCCCTGCCCACCTCCCCTCTGCAGGAGAGAGCAGCTTTTGCTACTGTTAACTACTGCTCCCTCAATACAGTAGAAAAACCTCATCCTTCCATGTGATCCAATTTTCCTTCATGACTGGCCAGTTATTCTACCCCCACCTATCTGTTTCAATGTTCTGCTTCCCATTTCTCCATGTCCTGCCTCCAGTCCTGAGCAAGGCACACATGGGTGCTGACCCTCCAAAGCAGAGCTTGTAGGAGCAGCCAGTGCCCTGAGGTGCTGCATCCCAGGTCTCTGCCAAGTGTCAGGCATGATGCCAAGCCATGGGGCAACCCAGCCTACTGCCAGAATCATTTCCCAAGGCACAAAGGACAGTAAGAATACAAAGCACCTCATACCGCTTAATCATATTTAATTCTTTCAAATCATCACAATTAAGCCAACAGGCATCTCCTTTTGCCATCTTGCTGCTGCCTTCTGCAACTCAGAATATGTCCCTAGCAAAATAACAGGAAATAGAAGAAGACTGCTAATGAAGTTTTCAGCCCATCCTCACATTCGTCCTGACTGGATTGCTGCCCAAATGATTTTAGTTTACTTTTTATCCTTTCCAGTCCCATAAATATCACAATATAACTCAATACAGAGAAAAGAGAAGGTGACAATTTCCTCACAGATAGGCACCCATTTCCTTTTCTCCAGGGTTCAGAATCTCTTCTGCAGGCAGAGTGAATGCTACCTACAGGGCAGTCGATCAGCATTGTTGAGTGAGCTTCTGAATTGCATTTAACAGCTGCTTTAGCTATGTCCAAAGCATCCTCACTTTAGAAGCATTTAAGCAGCTTCTTTAGCTATGTCCAAAGCATCCTCTCTTTAGAAGCACACAAATATTTGTAATCAAATATACTCAGAAATTAGTGACAGTTTGTGCAGTTTATTTTTAATTTTGACTTTTCCATTCAGATGTTTCTGTATGAGGCAGCATTTTCCTAACCTTGTGTTAAAACAAAAACAACAACAAAACCCCCCCTGCAACAAACTATTTACTTCATCTCTCCACCAATAAATTTACTGTGATACCTGTACATGTTCTGCAGACCTCACAGATACATTTTATATGGGAGATTTTATAATACAAGTAACTTCCAAAGCTATAGAGATGCTACCTGGAAGAATCGCAGGGGCTGATAAAACTTTAAACAATGAAAGAAACAACAGTGTTAAGAACTGAGACATTAAAAAAAACAAATGTGTAAAACTAACTGAAATAATGAAATAAGGTAGCTAAAGAATGAATACAAAAATAGCATAAAAAATATTTTATTTTCCACCTGCTGACATTGCCTCTGATATCATACTGGTGACACTGTGCCATCAGATTATGTCATATCTACATATCCTTGTTTTACCCTTAATAACTTCAGCTTTCATTTCAATGGGGCACTTTTTAAAGGAACAAATGAGCCTGGCACAAAGAAGAACAGCTCTTCTTTATTCGTATCCCTCGTGACCTTTAGATACACCAAGAACCAGGTGAGCACTCCCATTCCAGCTGCAGTAAATGAATGGTTTTGTTGTACTCCCTCTCCTCTGATCACTTGTTATTTTTTATGTAATGTACATCTTCTACTCCTTCTACTTTGTATTAGCCAGAAACATGAACAAAATTATAAATTTTCTGAAACTAGGGCAAGCTGCAGGGAAACATTTTTGTACGTCAGCCTTTTGAATAATCCAAATGTTTACTACAACAGAAAGGAAGAGCTGCCTACGAAATGCTGGTGCTCACCAACAAAGGCAAGCAAAGCTCTGCTGAACACTGGGGAGATCCACCTCCCACCTGACCCACAACTCACTGTCCCGGCACAAGGAAAAGTCCTGGTGAACAGTGAGGTGCTCTCCAGCTGTTCACATACCTGCACATACCTCTGTCCTTCCCTGCTTCCTTCCTCTGTCCTCCTATCAAAGCCTTAACAAGTATTTATCTGTACTTAATGCTGTAGGTGAACTCTCCCCCCACGGAGAGCAGCAGACTTCCCTGTAGACCCTGACAGCACATCAAGCTGATTCCCCTCCATCTCACAGCCAGCCTGACATCTGCCCTGCTCACTGCTGCAGTGAGAACCTCTGCTCCTCATCTGTACACAGAACGATGCAACTGCGGCACTGTGGGCTCAGTATTTCCAGCAGAACTGTTGGTTCCTCTAAAACCCTGCTGAGAACTCTGATGGAAGGAGGTGAAGACCTCCACCTGCCTGGAAAAGGGACCAGATAAGGAGTCTTTCTCCAAAAATAGGGTAACAGGAGCATATGAGCCCACAATGGGATTCACTTTGTCCTGAAGATATGATATATTTGTAATTTTCAGCAAGGTCACCTAAGGATTTAGTCCTGTAACTCGGCAGGAGTTTTGCCCCAGTAAGGATTTCAGGTCCAGACTTCTCAGGACTACAGGTAAACCTGATTTACCTTCTCAGGCACATGAGCATCAGGAAGACAAAGGACAGAAAGTTGGCAAATAGTGTTGTGAAAGCCTGTACTTCTGATCTTGCCTGAATTATTTACTTGCACAAGAAGGAAAATGACATAAATTCATAACGCACAACTTTCATTGCTTTCTTTCATGGTGTCTTTTTTCCCCAGTGGCCTCCTAAGAGCGTTCTGGGAGTAGGCTTTTCCTTTGAACATCAGCTGGATTTCATCACTGAAATTCTGTGTCCAAGCCCTCTCCCAGATCAGACACGCCTGCCAAGTTTCAAAGCCAAGCATGGGATAGTGTCTCCTCACACAAACAATCAGAAAAGTTGCTCAGAACACTCTGACATTTGCATGCACTGACTGACTTTTAAATAGCAAAGTCAAAATATAAACAACAGAGTGAAAGATAATAATACTATTAACAGCTGACAAATATATTGTTCTTATAGACTTTTAGGCTATATGTTTTGATGTGATGATTTTCTCTGATTTTCTAGGCACAGAGGCTTTAGAAGGTTCACTGGAAAATCCTTAGAACATTCTTCAGAAAATTACTGCCTTTTCCTAAAGGCTTCAAGAAACACTGAATATACAACCTCCTTATATAACACATCCAAATAATTAATGATGCTCTCGCTGAGGAAGCACTGACTTCTTTCTGCTTTCACTCTTAGCTGCCAGATCTAGTTAGGCACTCCTGGGAGACTGAACTCTCCAGTTTCTACCTGATCCCTATTCCACTGCCCACCTTTCATTTCCTTCTAGGGTTCTCTTGACCAATGTTCAGGCTGTACATACTCTGAATTTCCACCAAGAAATGTGGATTCCAGAATTAAACATGTGACTCTAATGAAATTTTAAATATTCAGCGTACCAAGACAAAACCAAGTTCCTGGCGGTTCCCTTTCCATTCATCCCAGGATCTGTTAGTTGGGGTAGCCACAGCTCTGCCGTGATGGTGCACTGCAAGCTGGCTTTTGACAGTGAGGGTACCACCATGGGTATTTCAGAATTTTTCAGGGTAATCTCCCAGCCTGCTTGTCTGCCTCACATTTTTTGACCCCCTACAAATGCTTTGGTCTTCTTTTCATGATTGGTCTTGTACCACAGAGGTGTTTTATGCAACAATAGAAGTTGCTGACGGACACCAAAGCTTTCACCTGTAAGGCTCTTCCTGTATTAAACAGAAAGAAAGAGGCTCCCCTGGAGAGTGAGTCATAAGGACAGACTAATTCTGAGTCACTGCCTGGAGGATCTCTCCTCTCTCCATGGACTAGCCCAACCACTGCTCTGACTTGGGCAGCTGAACCAGTGAGGGCTCACTGCCCAGGCAGAAAACAGTGCTAATGGAAGACTCACAGCGTCCTTCTGGAATAACTGGGAAA